GCAACAAAAAAATAGCCAGGCGTTGTGTCAGGTGCCTATAGTCCCAGCTACTCGGGAGGCTGAGGCAGGAGAATCGTCTAAGCCCAGGAATAGTTGGAGGTTGCTATGAGCTGTGACGCCACGGCACTCTACCGAGGGCGATAAAGTGAAACCCTGTGTCTACAAAAAGAAAAGGTGGGGGCGGTGCCTGTGGCCCCATATACCAGAGGTGGCAGGTTCAAACCCAGCCCTGGCCAAAAACCGAAAAAAAAAAGAAAGAAAGAAAACATGGAATCTAGACTGCGCCAGTAGAAACGCACCAGCCATCCCTCTGAACAGAGGTGTGCTTTGTGGACCCAGGAAGTTGTCCACATGGACAATCTCTAGTCATACATTTCACTTACTGTGAATGTAACACTTATTGTACTTAAAGTGATTGATGGAAGGTGGAGAAAGGCATCACAGAAAGATGTGATTTGTGTGCTGCTTCTTGGAGATTGATCTATCTCTGTTTCTAACTTTATTTAGACTGTCTTGACAAATACCAAAAGGAGGGCAGCGCCTGTGGCTAAGTGGGTAGGGCGCTGACCCCACATACCAAGGGTGATGGGTTCGAACCCAGCCCTGGACAAACTGCAACAAAAAAATAGCTGGGCATTGTGGCAGGTGCCTGGAGTCCCAGCTACTCAGGAGGCTGAGGCAAGAGAATCACCTAAACCCAAGAGTTGGAGGTTGCTGTGAGCTGTGACGCCACAGCACTCTACTGAGTGCAATAAAGTGAGACTCTGTCGGCTCAGCGCCTGTGGCTCAAGTGGCTAAGGTGCCAGCCACATACACCTAAGCTGACAGGTTTGAATCTAGCCTGGGCCTGCCAAACAATGATGGCTGCAACCAAAAAATAGCCAGACGTTGTGGTGGGTGCCTGGGGTCCCAGCTACTTGGGAGGCAGAGGCAGGAGACTCGCTTGAGCCTAGGAGTTGGAGGTTGCTGTGAGCTGTGATGCCACAGCACTCTTCCCAGGGGAATAGCTTGAGGCTCTGTCTCAAAAAAAAAA